TTTTTACTTCAAATTACGAAACAAATTATAGTTATTTAATGTTTTTAGATAAAATGTACTAAATACTAGTTTTTGGTTTGCTGAAGTGCCACAGTTGAATATGTGATAATGACATAAAATTAAAAGTTACATGAGATAAAAGGTACCTTTAGCATTTACTTTGCAATATTATTTGAGACATTTGTCATAGTATTTCCAAGGAGGTAAATAAACGAAGTAAAGAATGTTTTAAAAAAGTTGTTCTGAAATATAAGTTGTGGAAAATAACAATAACATAGGCACAATGTACATATTTATTTATATAGAATTGACTGTGTTACATTTCATGAAAGTACCTACTAAAGGCAGCATCATGCAGATACATAGGAGCATGATACTGAGCTATCTCGTAACTAATTTACGTAATTATATTCCATTAGACCGTTAGTGTTATTTGATGACGCACTTTGTTGTAGAATAAATCTTTATTGAAATTATTTAATCTATACTATAGCTATCTATAATAAAATTCTGAGTCAAATTAGTATATTGATTTTTTTTTAAATCTTATTGAAATAGTCATTATTTTCGATACAGAGGCCGAATCTATAGTTTTTTAGAATTTTTGTCTGTTTGTCTGTCTATCTGTCTGTCTGGAAACGCATCACGAGAAAACCATGGGACAGATTTTGATAAAAATTGGTATGATGATAGCTGGTTATCCGGGTCAACATATGGGATATTTCTTACTGCGAGAAAATATCTTATTTCTGAGAAAGCCATACTAAGCATTAAAACGTAATTTAATCAAATTTGTATGAAGCTTTCTTATAAGTAAGATAGTATTTAATTTTAAATAAATTAAGTAGAGATTATATGATGAATGAGTCATAATATTGTAGGAAACTAGTGGATTAAATAATAAAACTTAGCGCTTATTTAAATCAATGCTGTCGTATAAAGAATGAACATTACACGTTCGTATATCAATAGCATAATATATATTAGTGTGTAGGTAGCAAGTACAGTATATAAAAACAGTAGGAAAAATCTTATACTATATCATCGCTTATAAGGAAAGAGTTTGTTGTGGTATATGCGAATGAATCTTCATTCAAGTTTTCTGCTCTCTTTGACCACTGCGATAGCCTCTTGGGACATCAATGTACCTACTGAATTTACTATTCGCCTTTTAGATTATTCAACAAAATTAGGGTTTTATTGCCTATGGAAGATGTTATTGCGTTCTAGTTGCAAATTTCCTAATAACATCACTATTTAAGTAAAAAATAAATATGTATGTATATTATTTTATAACGCTTGCTGCATTTCGTGCGAAAAACTAAGAAACAATTACTATGATGCAGTTTTTCAATGCCATGCTATTGTTATCTGATGAGTTGTTTTTTCGTGACGCCATTATAAACGAGGCAAAGTCACCACGCATAATTTAATATACAAATTGTTCGTCGTCTTAACTACCTTTACTACTACTACTTGTTGGACTTTTCATTGTCCATATTACGTAATATTTAAATCGCCTTGTACTTTTCCATATAAAACTCAAATTCAATTTTACTAGCGAATAACAAACTAGTTTATTTGAGATCTGAATGAAACATATAGAATAGGTATGAAAAATCTGAGATTAAAAATTAGATTAAGTATATGATTTTAGTTATACTTTAAGAGAGTAATGAACTTATAATGTTTTCAAAGCATTGAATAAACCAGCATGAGCCATCACTCAAGTGTTTCACAATACCTGTAACATACAATATAGCTTACGGCTCTACAATTGTGCGATGTATCGCGATTGAGTTAAGCTCAACATTTATTAAAAAAATACTTTTTATAAATCTAAATTTTAATTAATCGAGTTTTTTATAGACAATGCTCGGTATATACCGGCATAAAACATACAATAATTCCTGACAACGAAGATGTGATCATTCAATATAGAATTTTGGAAATTTATTTTCTACCCGGGTTAGATAGAGAGTGAACGTTATCAAAAGCTTAATCTTTTCAACCCTACGTTTAAAACGATGGGGTATTATAAGTTTGACGTGTGTTGTCTGTGTGTGTGTTTGTCTGTGGCATTGTAACTCCCGAACGGATGAACCGATTTTGATTTTGTTTTTTTTTCTTTGAAAGGTGAGGTAGTCGGGAGTTTTCTTAGCTATGTTTGATGAAAATCGGTCCAATATGGTGGGTGTGTTTTTGAAGTATGGATATATCCTATATGAAACAAAGTCGGGTTTGTTACAACACTTATAATCGAAAGCTGTTGGACCGATTTTCATGGTTTTTGATTTATTGGATTTGTCTCCGCCTCGAATAGCAAAATAACCATTAAAAATAACGGAAAAATTAACGAAAACAAAATAAAAAAAAACCTATTCCAGAGTTAAGGGTCAAAACGTACCTAGGCACGAACCTGAGCGAAGCGAGGGTGAGTCGCTAGTTGATATATAATATGGATGGAGAAATATGGATTGATTTTTAAGCTTACGTTTATATTTCCTGTCGAGTTTAGTCTTTAAAGAAATCTATTACATATTATCAATCAGTTAAACGAACTTCAAGTAAAACTACACAAATAGTTTACCACAGTCCATTTGTTTGCTGAGCATTACTTCAAAAGACACAAGAGACCAAGTTAATTACAGGACATTAGACAAATTGTCACATCAAACAAACGAACATTATCATTAGTACGGCCGGCCTTGGAAACTGGGCCGAATATGCAAATTACATATTTTCCTACTAAACACATTATTGCGAACTTAGGGCAACTTGTTAATTGAATTACTACGTTAATGTTACTTAAAGACAAACAGCCTATTTGGTATATAGTGTAAATTGTAATTAAGAATGTATTAATAAAGTATGTATTTTTAAAATGAAAACATCTATAGGCAGGTTTGGATGGAGAGTAAAGTCATGTAAGTCATCATCGACATGGTCACGTGACGTGTTAACGCTGACACTCAGAGTGCCGATAGATGTCAAAACCAGATAAATGTAAACAGTTTTAATTTACAAATTTTAATTTAAAATCAAACAATTAAAATATCCAAAAATAACAACTGTTTGTTTATAGTTTTAAGTTTTCACTTCTGTCGTCTGTCCTCATGACTGCTTATTTTATTACAGAGGAGACACATAATCACTGAGTAATAAAGCTTTTTCTAATACAGATAAAAAAATCTATATAAACCTATTTTATTATAATTTAAATGTAAGAATTAATTTACTAAAATAATTATACTGAATCTGATAAAGGATTTTAGCCACAAAGTGTAAATACGATACTGTATAACTTGATCTTAATCACCAATAGTCTATAGATCCATATAAAAATCTTTCGTTACAATCTCTTTGCTATGTCGATCATATATTCAAATGAACTTTTTATGAGTTCAAGGCCAAGAAATACAACTGTCTATATTTATTTATTTAAACTAGATTCTAAATCGTGACTTAGATTAGCCACAGATACTATAGCTATAAAGTTCAGTAGAAACAGGGTCGCATTATATCTTTTTTTTTAAATTGAACTAAACTTTGTAAGAAGCGATACCTAAAATAATTGAATGAATTTCTATGAATTTTATATAATACACTTCTACAGGTAAAAAATAAGTTACATTAAGGTTTCTTTACACATATTATGTATAATTTTTTTAGTTCAGTAAAGAGATTTCACTGAAAATACCCACAGGGGTTAGTTACGTCTTGTATTATAATGCCATCGGTTTAAATCATGTTTAATAGTGCCTGCTAATTAAATGGAAATATACACTAGCGTCCTGTTAGGAGGCCGATCCCGTTAGTCTTTTAAAAAAAACCACAAAATAAACATAAAGTTTATTACAAAGTTCACACACAAAACTTATATAAATTCTTGACTTCCGAACTATAACGCGTCTCGGAATCTATGTCCGATCTATCCGGGGCGAGTCTAACTTTATAAATAAAATTAGAATTAATGTTGAAAAAGGAACAATAAATAGGAAAAAATACTTTGAATTAAATAAATGCTTACTAAGATTTAACTGCGTTGTAAAAAGGGATATAACAGTCCGTTTAAAGCCATATGCTAACGAGCATATATATAAGTATAGCAATAATCATTTTCTCGATTAATCTTAAAAATATATAAATGCATTTGGAATATATTTAGAAACTAAAAAAGCTTTCTAAGTGCACATTACGTATGCGTGAGCTTAACTCCCGAGGATACGCGGTCGCATAATGTGTAGTGAGTAAGAGGAAAGTTGTATTGGCGTGAGTCAGGTTAGTCAGGGTCTATCAGTCACTTGTCCAGTTTGTTTAGAGTAGAGAGACATCCTGTTTTACCCGTTTCGTTTTCTGATTTTACTAACCCAATTAATAGTTATGTGTGAAATCTAAGGTAATGCAGGAGATAATGCTATATAATTATTACGTTGGAGCATTTTTTTACGACATACTCGGTCGAAAATCGAAGGTAATGTTAATTATGTAGGTACATAAATTGTGACGATGATTAAATGGTCCGTATTTAATATAGCTACTTTCTTACTCACTATATCTGTACTAATGTTATAAAGAGGTAAAGTTTGTGATTTTGTGATATTGTGAGCTTGTGACGTTGTAGGGGGTAAGCTCTGGATCTTCAGAACCAATTTAAATGAAATTTGGTAAGAAGATAGTTTGAGACCCTGGGAAGGACATAGGATACTTTTTATTCCGGAAATGAATGATAATAGGGATGTAAGCTTGTATGGGGAATTAAACTACACTATATAGAAGTATTTTTTTTTAGATTGTAAAGAGTGCTATTGAAAAGTTTTTTCGTTTGCAACAGGTTTTTTTATACAGAGAACCTTAATAATTGATGGTAATATTGATTCCACAATGAAGATTGTAGCCGATGCATAAAACTTTTTACTATGCTTACTCAACTAAGAAGACCTTTAATCAACTAATGGGTGTAAAAAAAAATACGACTTATAATTTGATGTTTATTTCAGCGGCGGTATATATAGCGGGGGTCGTCGCGTCGATCGGTGTATCAATTCTGGGTGTGTTCTGCATACTGTCTGTACTGCAGCTGGCCATGATCTCTTCAAAAGAACGCGTCGCCTTCAAATATACCCATCTTGTGATGACGAAGTTAGCCCTGTCGCTACTTGCAAGTAAGCATAATTCTTTTAAATCGATTAGGTACTGGTACTGTATTAGTTCCTTAGCCTTTTATAGTCTAATTCCTATTGCTCATTGTTTTTTGTATTATAAGGAGGCTCTGATTTTTTAGAGTCGTGGGTTTGATTCTCGCGCCAGGTGAATGTTCGATTATCTAACAGATTGTTCCAGTCTAGTTAATAGTTGTGTAGGTAACTACGATTGCTGTACGCAGCCAACTATACAATAGGGTCCAGTCGAAAGCTTAAAAGACATTATCTATGTGGTCACAGGTACCGAAATGTGAGGATTTTAGCGAAAACTACTAATTAATTTAAATTAATAAAAAAAGGATAGTGATGGGAAAACTTTTTTTTTGTATGTTAAAAAAAGCAATCCATTCAGGAGGAGGTTAAGGCTGCTAGTATATTTCAAAATTGCTTAAAATAAAGATAGCTCCATTCGAGTAGCGTATATACGTTTTCATTTCTAAGAAAAAAACTAACAATTCCTAGCATGCAGGTAATAATCTCTCATTAGTTTGACATCCGGTAATTATTGGAAGATGTATATACAGTTAGAGAAAATTACGGTTATTACTCTTTATGTATTTTTCTATGAAATTGAATGGTTAACATTTTGAGAGGAAATATTTATTGGAAATATTGATTGTCCTTGGCCTGAAATATAATTTATATAGTAAAAAAATAAAAGTAATATTACCTATAAGTATATTTTTTTAATGATATCTGTTGTAGTATGCCATAGTATGTGTTTGTTTATAAAACATTTGGCAAAGCCGTTATAAGTATACAGCTAATACATCTAGTTTTGTTTAAACTTTAGCTTCTTTTAACATACAATTCAATTTAGATATTAGAATAATTGTTCGAAAATAAGTTATTTATCGTATATTTATAGTTATTTCATATACAATAAATAATAATAATAAGTAACTAATATATATATATATATATATCTGTATATTTTTCAGCATTACTTTCAATAGCAGCAGCCGGTCTGTTCGCTGTGCAGGGCGATGACAGAGGGTTTTATCTGGTCAGGGGCGAAGCGTTCTATGTACAGGTTAGTTGTAATTTTATTTATAAGTAACTTATTAATTAATACCATTCAATAAATAATATGTTCATCAATAAGTCATTCAATAAGTAATAAACTACGTAGGTTTAAACGGTTAGTGATTCCCATAAAAATAAGCAGTTCTGAACTTTTCGATATTCCAGCTGTTCTTTTTTTTTGGTTTTTCCCTATTTATTTTTTTTACTTAAAGCATCCCTGACATACACCCAACAAAAAATTTTCAAAAATTAAAAAAATATAATTATTATTATGATAGTAATTTCATAAAATTAGTTCCCTTTTCTTTGCTCGGGTGTCTCCCTATGTACCTTTTGTATTAAGTATATACATGTAGTGTCAACTTTTGGCAAAGTTAATAATAATAGCCAGTAGTAATCCAAGTCGTCAATTTATGTACTAAATTTTATCCAAGTCTGTCCAGCTGGTTCAGCATGAACGAGTAACAAACATACACACAAATACATAAAGCTTTTATTAGTTTTTTGATTTTACCTCTTTATTTACCTTAAACGCCTGTACTATATATAATTATTTCTATGCCCATTTATTTACAGATAGTATGCATAGTCATAAACTCCGCGTTATTTATAATGTCGTTCTACGACACATTATTTTCACGAAGAACTGGAGGGGACCCAACAAATGCTTTGAGTGGAACAGAGGCCGGTACTACGATAAACAATCCCGGGTTCAAAGACAGTAGAGGTGAGTTTTGATTTTAGTTAAATTAAAACAAACATACATTCATATATACATAAATCCTTACAAACAAACCATATACAAAACTTTTGCGCTTATAATATTAGTAGGACTATATCGACTTATAATCGGCTTTGCTCGGGTGCGTCCCTAGGTGTCTTTTTGCCATACATTTTTAATACCTTTATTTGAAACCGATTTCAATTGAAAGTTATTATAATTTTTGACAATAAACACATTTTTTGAAAAAGACGTAGAATGAAAAAGACACGAGGGAAATTAGTCGGTATGTTCAACCTAAAAATAACACAAAATTAAATTTCTAGGTATATCAATGACAGATGCATCAGGAAAGCCATACAGTACGAACGGTCACGGCAGTGTGGCATCAATGAACACTACTGCTACAACGTTAACCGGTCTCTCCGATGCGAGTACAATTACAAGATCCCCCTTAAGATCTTCCCTAAAGAAACCAAGGCCAAAAGAGGGTGAACCGGGGGGTATGGGCATACAAAACCCAGGCTACTCCGGTCACTCCCCCCCATTAAATCGCAATGGCAGCCAAAAAAAGGTACGCATTCAAACACACAGTACTGAAGTGTGAATTGATTAAAATAATTCAAGGTTTTATTGAAATCTGATAATGTAGATGTAATTGGAAGTATGTAGATAAATCAATCTGTTTTATTTATAATTTTTAACGTTAAGCGCGACATATTTATATATACGGGGGGCGTGGTCTAAAATGTTTTTTCATTCGTATTAAGAATGAAAATAGAACATGTATTCATTACATAAATGACTGATAATATTTGTAAAATTGACCGATTATGAATGACTTTCATTAAAATCGATTATTTTGAATAATCGATTTACCACATTATTTGTAACTGACTAATACAATAATTCGATTATAAGTTAATCGATTTTATCTACTTAATGCAAAAAAATATCACCTCACTATAATAAAAGCATTTGTTCATTTTTTCAAAAGGATTGTTTGCAAAATTTAACCGAATATTGCTAACGTTTGGTATAAAAATCCCATATTATTCTTTATCAAAATATTTGGGCCCGGACCCTGCCTTAAATATAATAACCATTTTTGATATTTTTATATCAAAAGAAAAAAAAATGCACAAGTAAAGTAGACATAAATTATAACTTCCGCTACATTTATAATTCATTCCTAATTTATGCCATTTAAATTATTTTTTTAATAAATATTACAAAAACAAAAAACATATTTAGGTATGCGTCGAACTGTACCTCCTACTTTTGATTTGGTTAAGATCGCGCCTGTAAGGAACAAGATATTAGATAACATAATCTTTTTAAAACTTAGTATTATTTTACAAAATTGATGTGTAAATGCTTTACGTTTTTAATTTTACAAGAGCATAGTCATTAGTAGTACCATAGTTATATGTAAGTTTACCTTTAAAATAATTATAATATTATAGCACATTTACTGTAGATAAGTATGACTTTTTAATTTATACCTAATATTATTCCATTTTGTAAGTATTGAAATTATTTTTTATGGAATATTTGAACTGTCAGCAAAAAAATGATTTCATTTTTTATTGAAGTATCATTTTTTTTTAATTTGCGTTGACAACTTCATATTGACTTCCGATTATTTTTCATTTTATACTAAATTTTTACAATTATTGTATGTTCATACTAAAGAGTGTTTTTTTTTTTATATTGGACAGCTAAAGTTTTTTCTGTTATATGTATATCGGTTGTTTAAAGTATACTGATATAAGTATATTATATTTTTTATATATTATGTGTAATTATACTGTCAAAGACATTGAAGAAAGGTTTTATATGATCTGCATAGATTAAAAAAGTTAAATTTAATAAATTTCAATTTTTTATTTTAAAAATAATTCTTTAATTGTATGGTTAAATATAATACCATGTTTTTATTGTATATTTTGTTCGAACTTAGTTCTAATAGTTGGTTATTGTAGTACACATGTACATAAACTAAGCACAAAGTGTTTATATAAAATGAAAATATTTTTACTTTTATATTTTATCATTGATGGCCATTAAATTAACATAAAAATTGATCACTCAAACTGATACAAATTGAATATCGATTTATTAATCAATGTATATATAAATAGCTACAAAGAACCCCATCAAATATTCTAATGTAAGAAATTGGTTAACTTTTTTATACTGCTTTGTCGAAACGCAATAAAATAATGTAATGCAATATATTTTAGTTATAATTTAGCTATTGTATATACACATACTCGTATGATAGATAAACCCACCAGGCTCGTCCCAAGACCATCACATATAGGTTATTGTATTGTAGGGAACAATTTTATAATATTTTTTAAATATCTCCATGTATCCTTATGTAAGTCGCTTGTAAATTACTATAGAAAAGTTCTTATATTAAATCTATATAAACTTTTATAATGCTAATTTTGTTGAAGAATTTTTTCTATCTACTACTCTTAAAAATTGAATGACTGAACTTTTGCTATTTAATAGATCTGTCTATTTCAGTCAGATTCAGATCAGATTTTCAGATGTGTCATTTTATAAAAGACTTTTCTAAGGAAGTTTACAAGCGATTATGAGTTAAAAGGTACATTATTGTGCCTTGGCCTTTAAATGTGTGCCTTGTCCTTTGCCTATTTCTCATAAATGTATTATTTTGGCAAAGTATTAATTTTAGGTTTGTTTTTTTAATCACATTGTGTTATTTTTAATGAATCTCGTATAATAAGAGTAAAAAGAACTAAGGCGTTTTATATATTACTAGCGGACCCGACAGACGTTGTCCTGTCTACGCGTCTTTAATTTAAAAATTCCAAACTTTTTTTAATAATTTTTTTGATGAAAATTATTATTCAAATTGTGAATCTAAACCATTCCCAGATCCCCTTGAACACACACAAAAAATTTCATCAAAATCGGTCCAGTCGTTTGAGAGAAGTTCAGTGACATACACACTCACAGAAGAATTATATATATAAAGATAGGCTCCATGCAAGGCATTGATTGTTTAAATATTTAGCGTATTTTAGGATAGCATTCACATGCAAAAATAAACTTTTAAAGAAAAGTAACGTTTTGCTAAAACAAAAACAAATTTTTCTCACGGTATTCGTACATTATTCCGGGATAAAAATAACCCATGTACTATTCCAGATTTTAACCTATCTCTGTAATTTCATCCAGATCAGTTTACCATTTGTAATATTATACATATTAATTATTTTTTTATTATATTTAAAATTCTATTTTATTAATTTTGATTGTGGATTCTTTTAAATTTACTATTTACTTGGTTTTTCATACTGATGTGAGTTAAATATAGAGAATTAATTTCATTTTAAAATATTTAAATTACTAAATAATATATATACCGCTTTGGTTCTTTTAAAAAACTACATTCAAAATATGTTCCATCCGTCCAAATTCTGGTCCCCATTAAGTTTGAGACCTTAATGTCGTATAGTTCTAAGTATATTGTGTGAAAAATATTTTATTATTGTTATTTTCTATCGTTGGAATTTTTTAACTGTTTGCAAAGCAAATGTTTTCGGATCTAATTTGTTAAAGATTTTGTGATTTCAGACAATTTTAATTTGTCGTATTAACTCTATGTATGTACTTTTACGATCAATATTATTAATGATTTTTATTAATTTAAGAAGTGTGGAAGTGTGTTTGTTGATTTGTCGTCCTTTTATGCAGAAAATAAGCAATAGATAAAATTTGTATTTTTTTATGGTATTCAGTGACAAACGAGCAGACCGCCCACCTGATGGAAAGCGGTACCTGTCGCATATAACACCTACGGTTCATGCACTAAGGTTTTATGCTACAAAACTGCAGAATCGCAGGTGCGTTGTCACTGTGAGGGCTAAGATGATATGCCTCTTGCCTGTAATTGCGCTGGCTACCTTATCCTTCAAACCGGAACATAACAATGTAATTATTGTTGCTTGGCGGGAGAAATAGATAAGGGGGCGGTACCCATCCAGTCGGACTCCTCAGGCTTGACAGAGTTCTACCACTGGTAGAATATATAACCGGTAAAATACATAGCTCACTTGTTGGTAAAACATAACTGTAGATCAGTTTTTTACTCTGTAGAGTGCGTAGGTGGAGTTGGGCGTGTCACTTTTGTCATTCATCTACATACTCGTAATACAAGACCACTAGCAACAAATTTTTGATTTACCTTAAATATCTCGGCATTTGCTTGACGTACAAATTACGTACGTACGTAAGAAGTACGATACATCTACGATCAAATACGATAGTCATTATTTAACATCACCTACTTTTTTAATATTATATTTTGTACAAGCGCCTTACCCTCACTTCGGTCGGGTGTGTCCCTAGGTACGATTTTGTTCACAATTTCATGGGCTTTAATTTTTTTGCGTGGAACCCTGATTCTTTTTCTGAAATAAAAGTGGCTTAAGTTACTTCTTATAACGTCAGCTATCTGTCAGTGAAAGGCCCGTCAAAATCGGCCAGCCGTTTTGGAGATTAGCCGGAACAAAGAGACAGACGACAGACAAAAATGTTCAAAATTGTTTTTTTCTTATTAGTACCGTATACACTTTCATAAGCATTTAGTAAAAAGCTATTATTTGGACATTACAAGCAGACACTTCAATTTTATTTATCTGTATATGTATAGATATTTTAACAAATCCCAGACTTTGCACGACTTATTGACCTAATGGTACATATATATATGTTATTCACAGTAAATCTCAAGATTTATTAAGATTTTTCGTACATTTTAAAATACTATTCTCCGTCCGATGTTGAAATACTTAAATAATTTATGTTTTATTGACATATTAGATTCTTATGATTAAAAAAACATGAGGTGTATAATATAATGTTTTATTTATTTAAAACCTCCCAAATAATATAATGTTTTATTTATTTAAATAAGGAATGATTTCCGGGATAAAAACCATCCTATGTCCTTCCCAGGGTTTCAAATTATATTCCCAAATTTCATCTAAATCGGTTCAGTAGATCCAGAGATTACCCCCCTACAACGTCACAAACTTAAAAAAATTTCCTCTATAATATTAGTATAGATATATAATTATAAAAATATAAACAAGTATTACTAACGATAATGTAAATAAAATGATGATCAATGCCACCTTGAAGAAAAACCTCTCATATTTTCTGTTATTGAGTTTGTATCCTTGCGCGCATCACGCCAAAGCATTACTTTTCAAAATGCTCGATTGAGCAGAGCGTTGCTATAGTTAAAACATCTGAAGTTAGCATTATGCCCCATAGTGCGCTTTAGTGCTCTAATTGGAAAACGGGCATAGTGCATGGCTGACCACGCGTAATGTAGGGTTCCGTAGTTGCCCATCACAATAATGCGGACTAAGAAGAGGGCTTTTTGTTGTTTTATACAGCTTTCTAGTACTAAGAGTATCTGAGTTAAGCTGCGGAAAGACGATATGGCGAAACTATAAGGGTTCCTTGTTGACTACGGAACCCTGCATCTCACCGGGTTTCCTTATGAAATATGCACTGGCGTCTTTTTGACATTAGTGCCTTTTATTCGTTTTTCGAAAATGGGGCTTGCAAGCAAACCCTAACTGCAAAATTACTTTTAAACGAAACTAATAGAAATTCGAATGAAACTGAAGCGACCATTAAAACTACTCATTAGATTCACGTTACATATTTTTTTATAATGTTGCAACGAAGCACAGGGCAGCCAGCTTTTTTTTAAAATTATGGGTGGTTTCCGTGGCTATTTCTTGAGGTACAACAACTAAATAAATCACGCATAATTAATCAATAAGTATTCAACTATAATGTGTTGCAATTATATAGATCTGTGATGGGTGAAACATATTTAAAACAATAAAAGTTCTAAGTAAGTAAGCACATACCTAGTGTATTTTAGCTTAAAGTCTGGCACACGAAAGTGAAGCCTTAGATTTAATTGAAACTTTTTACATGGCAACATTCTGTAAATGTCACTTTCTAGTTTCTACTTTCTGTGATCTGTCACCCGGCCCCATAACTATACTCTTTGCCCGGCCCGCATCCGGCTTAAAAAGTGTGAACGGTTATAAACAGTTTTAATTGATAAAATGAATAAAACTATAAAAAATGATGTGCGAAAGTTACTCGCTATGATGAGTAAGTTTGAAGAAAAACGACAGAAGAAGCTAGATGCCTTCGATAAAAACAACAATATTTACTTGTGATAACAAGCTTTATAGGTCAGTTTAGCAGAATTAGTTTTGATACTTACATAAACTGTATTATCGCTGTTTTTTTTATTAAGTACCTCATTCGTATAACTATAAAATAATAATTAGTCTATTTGCAGATAATTTGGACATTGAAGTTAGTTCAATTAAAAAAACATGAACTGCTTTGGAAGAGGAAAAGCTGATTAAAACCAAGCTATTAAAATCACATACTGACTGTATTTGAAAGAAATTGCCTCAATGACTGGTATGTACATAATTCTGGAATGCATACATATTAATTAATATTGTCTTTCTCAGGAGTAGCATTGCATCTTTAAAACGAATTAAAAAGGACAAGTAAATTGCATGCTTAAAAATATAAAGATGTAACTCAAAAATCATAATTTGTGGGAATTAGCGTTTAAAGATTTAGACTTTTCCTTCCCGTTTTGGATATAAAATTAAACAATTACTTTTTAGTTAATCATTAATTTGACTGCTGATATTATTAGATTATACTATAGAGATTTTAGAAGTAATGGAAGTAATGTGGTAAAATTAATCATTATTGGATAATTTTTGATGCAAAAATCAAGTTGTGACTTCCATCAGTTTATGAAAAAAAAAATACTTAACATATGAAACATTTAACGTAGCATGTAAGCAAGTCATTAAAAATCATTTTACTTTTAAAATTTGACATTGTCGTTTTATTTTATTTTTTTTATTTAAAATTTTATTACATTTTTTAAAACACTAATCTAAACACCAGGGATGGCGATTCTTTACGAAAAAGATCGATTTTTAAATCGATTCGAATCGTAGTCTAATGAATCAATTCACGAAAAAATCGAGGCCTACAAAATCGATTCTTAAAAAATCGATCTTTTTTTCAAGTTTGCGTTTACAATGTAAATTTGTATCAATTTTACTAAAAACAAGATTAATATTGCAATTAACGATATCTTATCAATAAAATCAGGGAATTCAAAAATAACAATTATTTTTATTACCGTATCAAACTATAAGATCAACTATAAAAAAAAAAGTATTTATATACTGAATGTTTTTATTGATTGCAAAAAAGTAAAAAATAAGGTAAGAGTTAAAAGTTTAAATATTAAGCATTGGGAATTATAACTGGGAACTATAGTTCCCAATGCTCAATATCTAAACTTTTTAAAAACAACAGTCTGTCAAGCCTTTTGGGATCCAAGCGGTTACGCTCATCACTTGCAATGTTTCCAGCAATTGAAAACAGGCGCTCACAAGGAACGGATGATCCAACGATACTCATATACATCATGGCGATTGGGTGAACGTGATGATAAATGGAGCTCTTTTGTTCTTGCCAGTAAAGTACAGGATCATACTTCAGGTGCACAACTGCCTGCGATAAATAATGTTTGAATTCTTCATTTAAGCCTTGATTTTCCTGTGCAAGTGCATTGCATAAAGAGAGTTGCTTTTTCACAAGCAACTTATGAAAATCCCATATTCCGTTTTTCATATCCTTATCAGTGCTTTCTATTGCGTCAACTTCCTCACTATTATTTTGTGGAAGTGATTGTCGTGTAATATCCAAAATTGAAGTGTTTATTTTATTTATCGCTCGAGAACAGGCTACATGGTCAGTAAAATGATTTTTTTTAAATCTAGGATCTAAAATGGTCGCAGCAGCTAATAAATGAACTTGTTCAACATTTCCAAATCTTTTCTTCAAGCCGTCCACAATTAAAGTCCTTGTTTTAACACCAATATCCGTTGAATTTTTCATTGTATTATATGTTTCAGTCAGACAAGACACGATGGGTATAATTTTACTGGCTGTAACGTAGTCTTCTTCCGATATTTCTTTAGTTATTACTTCTAATGGTCTCAATATATTTATAAGATCTTTTATAAATTCTAACTGCTGTGCAGTTAGCATTGTTGGCGCTTTAGGATACTTGAGTAATATTGGCGCAATTATTTCGGATAACTCAACAAATCGTTCCAATTGATAAAAAACAGAATTCCATCTGGTACACACAGACTGAACAAGTCCCAAAGGCTTTGTTTGATGACCCTGAGCTTTCTTTAAAGAATCAGCAGCATTTGTATTATGTTTAAAATATGTGGTAATATCTTTGACAGCTGTTAGTAAATTCTTGGCTTCTTCCAGTCCATCCTTATTGTAAAATGGTTTTGATGCTACTAGGTTTAATGTATGGGCAAAACATGGCATGTGTTTATTTTTGCCATAAACATTTGTGACAGCTTTAACGATATTAGCGCCATTGTCCGTGATAAACGCTACCACTTTGTTACTTGTGATGCCCCATTTTTCCGTCATATTGATAATTACTTGTGCTAAGTAGTCAGCATTGTGTGGTTCTGTTAGAGCAGTTACACCAAAAACTATGCTCAATAATTTACTTTCATATATACAATGACCAGTTAAGCTTAAGTAGCTTTGACTATTATGCGAGTCAGTCCAAACATCTGCAGTTAAAGATAGTGCTTCTACTTCTTGTATTTTTAGTTTCAGTTGTGTCGAAAGAATGTCATATTTATCGTCAATCATGTGGGTCATTGTTTTTCTGGCTGGAACTTAAGTGGTGCCACTACTTTCATTAAATATCGAAATCCTGTTTTTTCCACAGTATTTAAAGGCAACCCATCTTTTGCGATCATGAAGACTATTGCATTGGTTATTTGACCACGCTTAATACCAGTATCTGAAAATAAATAAAATAAAGTCTTAATTATTGATCCTGTATGCATCTCACTTTCATAAAAAAATATTCAAAAGATTTTAGTTTCATGCCTTACCTCCAAATGATTTTATATTTGTTAAGCAAGATGTCAATGTTTGCTGTTTTAAGACTGATACATTGGTAGAAGAAGAAGCCACGCTTTCAGCATCCGAATTATCAACATTTTGCAAATCTGGAACTGGAACGATGTCTAAAGTCATGTCATCAACAACCTAAAACGAAAAAACATGGTTACTTCGATTTATTTAATATCGATTTTTATTTTTTTCGAACTCAGTACATTGGAAAACAATTAATGTGACATAAGAAATGGTTTCACTAACTTGATCATTTCCATTATCATTTCGTGCATTACCACATTTACCACCACCACTTTCACTCTTCTTTTTGAGACTTACGGTCTGAATTGTTGGATGACGTCTTAATAAATGATTGCGCAAGTTTGTTGTGTTTCCCTTAGTTTTTACGTCCTGGTGACAATATTTGCATGTGCCTCCGAAGTCTTTTTTAATAAAATGATTCCATAAATCACTTCTACCCGACATGCTGAAAAAATACATTTATTCCTCATTTATTATATGTATTAAACTTGATAAACAATGATATTTTAAGTAATTAGTCACTAGTTTCAAGTAATATTCAAAATCCTATTAGGATTAGTTAACATAATTTCATAATGAATTTAAAAGAATATTTTATATGAAAGAATAGTTTAACATTTTATAAAAAAGTAACCTTTATATAAAAATAGCACCAAATGTGAATCGATTAATTAAGATACGAATTGCTTTAAAAATTGATATTTTTCGGAAAGAATCGCCATCCCTAGCCTGGCGATTACTTGATTGAAATAAAATTAGAGTTAAAGCGATAGTTTATTTTTAAAATGATAATGGGAGCTTTACTATTTTTTCTGTAAACAAGATGAATAATTTGATGCTTTGAGGTTAAATAGATAATTGGACATAAAGTAATCGTGAATGAAGTATGAACACTTCCATCAATAAGAATTCCACATATTACTTATTAGTTATTTCAATGCTGATTATTCCTGTGTAAAAGTAAATTTAAATGATAATCACAACTAACAGAACAAACTGAAAATAATAGCGTCAAAGTAAAAAATAAGAAGCGCTTTACTTATTTACTTACCTACTCTCAATTAGTTATTATTTCGCAACAAACACTACATGAAAATCTGATGAAAATCAATCATGAAAATACTTGTATTACGCTAATAACAGTATTCATTAAACGACAACAACAAATGAATAATGCAATATCAATCGTCACAGATTATAGATACATAAAGTCAAAGACTACAAACGTAACTTTTTTATTAAAGAGAGGCGAGTAAAGGATACTAAACATACAGTCATCTCGCGAGTTTATGAGTAGTTAACTCTTTAACCGGCAGCACTCTTATAATTCAGGCACATTTAACTAAATGCAAATAATTGTATGGTTTATACCAAAACAGAAAAAATCGAATGTCGATTTTCAAGGGTGATATATCGATTCAGTGAATCGACACAGTACTTCATATCGATTTAAAAAATCGATATTTTCTGCTCGAAAAATCGATTCTTCGATTAATCGATCTCAGATCGCCATCCCTACTAAACACTGACAGCGCAACAAAAACCATGTATGATTTTCCCGTGCACTGCGGATTCATGCGCGGTAGTTAATTAAACATAAATCTATTAAAAACAGGTAAGAATATCACCAACTTACTTGCGTTGTTTATGTTTTTTCGAGACGACAGTGGCTTGTCACTGCACTAGCGTATAACTGGTTTGTAATACAACTGTCTATACAGGCTGCTCATGATAAAACTTTTTTAATATATTTTTAATTTTTTTTTCGGTAATTTTATCTTTTAATGTTTTAGATAGTTTATTAATTATAGAAGGGATTACATATTCCAGTACCCGTTTTCTATAATTATTTGTATATTTAGGAGTTTCTAATTTATTATTTATATTGCTTCTTAGAAAATGTTTTCCATTGTTTTTGATTTGTTGTAGTTTTGTATTAAAATATTGTTCTTTCAGTAACAAGTAATAAATTCTACTGTGTATCGGCATTACTTTGCAATAGCTAAATAACCCATGATCGTTATCTTTGTACGAATGTATAATTTTTTTAGATACAATTGTTTTTATGGGTCTTCTCCTTCTAACACGGCTTTTTCCGCACTTAGGCATCTTTGCCCGTTGTGCGTGAGCTTGTGCTGCTGTGTGTGTTATTCTTTCCATCCCAGAGCGTCCCAGTAGTCTAGCAGGCTGCCGGTGTCCTGGAAGATTTCTGGGATCGGTCTGTGGGGGCCGAGTTTTTCTTCGCGTAATTGTTCCAGTGCACTACATTCAGTTAGAATGTGTGCTGGTGTTTCATCTTCTTGGAGGCACGCTCTGCAGAGGGCGCTGTCCGTGTGACCTATGTTAAAAAGATGTTTATTGAGTTGGCAGTGTCCTGTTATCAGTTCCACCACCGTTTTTAGTTTGGGTCTATCTAGGCGTGTTAGTTTCATTGTTAATTGTTTGTTTAGTGTGGGGAATGCTTCTTTCGATTGACGGAAATCTGTGTTGGCCTTCCATAATGTGTTAACTGTGTTATCAGTGAAGTTTCGTAACCATGTCTTGTATTCACAGTGTGGAATTGGGGATAGAGGTGTAGGCCCCTGAACTTTTAGTCTAGAGGCCTGTTTGGCTAGGTAGTCGGCAGTTGAGTTGCCTTTGTTATTTGTGTGACCCTTTACCCAGGAGACCTTTACTGTGTTAGTATGGGAAAGGTGTTCCAACGTTTTGTGACATTCTAGTATGTATTTTGATTTTGTTGTGTTTTTAGTTAGTGCTTGTAAAACCGTTTTGCTGTCGGTTTTTATGTGTATTATTGAGTTTGTTATCGATTTGTTTAGTAGTTCTTGTGCTCCAATTGTGATGCCGACGCATTCTGCTTGTAGCACTGTGTTGTACATACCCATATGATGGTTGGTTTTGATATTGAGAGTGGGGCAGAATATACCTGCACCTACTCCTTCCTTGGATTTGGAGCCGTCTGTGTAGATGGTGTGGATTGGTATTATTGTTGGGTTGTTGTCTACATCTCCGTCATCTGTTGGGTTTATAGTATAATGTTTTTCTATGATGTGTGTTTTATTTATTCTGTCATTTGGCCATTTGAGCTGTGGAAATTCTGCCTCATATATGTCGAGGATTTTTGTGTGTTTGCCCAGATTGCGTTTCCATCAATTAACTGATTTTAGTCTTAGAGCTGACAGGGCAGCTTCTTGTTTTATGAAAATGTGTAGAGGTGGTATGCCCAGAATTATTTCTAGGGCAGCCGATGGAGCGGTTTTCATGCAGCCTGTTACTGCTAACGTGGCTGTTCTTTTGGAACTTTTGAAGTTCGTTTTGGATTGTGTGTAGTTCTGTTCTGGGCCACCAGACTACACTGGCGTAGGTGAGGGATGCTCGTACCACCGTGGTGAAGAGCCAGAGCATAGTTTTTGGTGTGATGCCCCATTGTTTCCCTACCATGCGCCTGCATTGGTTCAATATCTTGTGGCTTGAGGTGATTTTGTTGTTTACGTGTGTGTTCCAACTGAGTTTGCTGTCAAGTGTTACACCTAAGTACTTGACTTCATTTGCTAATGTCAGTTTTTCGTTGAATAGTGTTGGCATTTTTGTTAGTTTGATTTTGCGTTTCGTTGTGAAAAGCAGTAGTTCTGTCTTTGCGGGATTAATTGATAAGTCGTTTTGTATGCACCAGTTTTCTGCTATATTAAGGGCTCTTTGCATTAGTTCTCCTAGGGTGGCTTCATGAGTCTTAACTGTAAGTTGTATATTTGATCAATATGAGTTTTATATGTAAGACCGTAACTGCTTAGTCCGTACGAAATTATTGACTCACCCAATGTTCTATACATCATGAGCAATATTAGAAAAGAAATTTTATTACCTATTAAACTAAATTTTGATAACAAGGCTCTTAGTTTGTCACAAACACTGTTTATATGAACTGTCCATTTAAAACGATCGTCAATGATTAGACCGAGATATCGCTGACATTGTACCATTTCTACGGTTGGGCATTGGCAACCATGGTTTATGTGGTTGTGTAAGCAATCGTGATTGTGAGCAGTTAGCTGGATTCTACCATTATGTCTTTTGTGACTTGAGCTTATGTACATAAACTTAGTCTTTGAGATATTAATGATAAGACCAACATCATGTGACCATTTTGCCAGCGCGTCAAAATCTGCCTGGAGAAGTCTGAGTGCTTCTTCTATATTACGGCTTGATGACACAAGATAAGTATCATCAGCATACTGATACATTTCACAGTTTTGTATAACATTCTCGAGATCGTTCACGTAAGTAATATAGTGTAAAGGTCCCAAAACTGATCCTTGTGCCGTGCCTTTGTTAGTATGAATTTTATTGCTTAACGTATTGTCAATTTTTACTCTAAAAGATCTGTCAGTCAGATAGTTTTGACACCAGTTTAGTATAGGACCTCTGACACCGTTATCGCCTAGCTTTTCAATTAAGGTGTCATGTTGGAGTGTATGAAATGCCTTGCTATAGTCAATAAATACAACAAGGACATGATTTTTATTATTTAGGTGTTTGTTAACAGAGCTCGAAAATGCTGACAATAACTGTGATGTACTTTTTTTGGGCTGAAAACCAAATTGCTTATGTGACAAAATGTTATGTTGCTTATAGAATAAATTTATTTGTTGGCAGAGATATTTTTCCACTATTTTGTCGAGTACGGGTAGTATACTACTACCTAAACTTACTAACTAAATTGTTATAATATTACTTTACATAATATTGTGTCGTTTTTTAAGAAAATATTATCTAAGGTTTGTCATTTGTTTTAAAACGAAAGAAGTTTTTTTTAATACCTGTCATTATTATTTTTTCTAAAACACAATATAGCATAGAAAATGTCTTACAACTTATCTGACTAAAGATCAGTCTTTACTAAATCATAAATGATATTGTATGTTAACAACTTTTATTGCAATCATGCATATTTATTACTCATGCTGTTGGTCACGATGTAGGTACGCCAAAGAAGTCAGGCTAATGCCCAGACAGAAAAAAACAGCGAATTTGCTTTTTCTGAACGAGTAAAAGCTTTGATCTGCGCAAATTGGTAATTTTTAGTTAATCCGGCACAAGGATCATATTAAATTTTAACGATTTAAATAAAATGCCAAAAAATGAACAGCACACTTTAATACCATCGAACGGAAAAAGATACAAGTCTCAAGCCACTGATAATAACAACAAAAATTATTTTTCTTACATACTAATCTAAATTTGACCTCAACATTTTAGACATCATCCAAGGACCCACTCAAACATACAGCCGCCTTTGTACAGTATTTTTATTTGTCCATAAAGTTTTAATGAATAAACAATACAAACAAAATTTCATCCAAGTGGGTCGAGCCGTTTAGGAGGTGTTAGGTAGCAATACTATCACGACGCCATCTACCGGTTTCAATTTTATTGTATTTTTAAATAATTCATTGACCCACTCAAATATATACATAAAATTGCATCCAAATTGGTCTAGCCGTTTAGGAGAACTTTAGGTAAAACACTCATTACATTAGTACTAACATTATGTACATACTCTCCTATCAAAAACGTAGTTTAGTACGTGTTCTTAACACGTTGGTGGACAGTACAAGTTAAGAATTTCTTCCTAAATGACACTTCTTATTCTCATACATTGCCTATGGGCGTAGTGTCAATGCGGTTGTATGTACAATGTTGTTGAGTGACAGAACGCCTATAGACGCTTACGTCTATGGGCGTACTGTCATGTTGCATGTAAAGAAAACTACGCATAGGGACTACACGCCTATAGCCGTAAAGTTGATTATACAGATAATAGTAATAAAACCAGTATTTTTTATATAAATTTGTTTAATAATAATCACAAAAGTAATCAGCCTCTTTTATAATTAACAAGTTGCTAATATAACCATCTTTTTATCTTACCTTTCTTGAAATTCAAATAAAACATTAAAACTCTTTTAGCTTTGGATGTACGTTTACCACTAGGTATTATGATAGTAATCACAGCAACATTTCACTAACAATGTTATTTAAGTACTAACTTGAACACAATACTATTCTATAAGTCACCTTAAGATTAATCTTAATTTAAATTTACTTATGTAATCAGCCTTTTTTAAATTCCGAAATTAAATTATCACATTATTGTAGTCTGCCAGCATCATATTTTAAAAAGCAATCTAATGACTCCAGATAACTTTACCTCTAAGGAATCTTTAAAATCTTCTTCCTCAGAAATAGTATTTTCCTCTTCTTTCTTCAGTACATGTTTTTCTGTATCTGGTCTTATTGTGGTTTTAATGACCCCCACTTCTTGGGTATTTTCTACATATTGTCTTTCATCCTTTATTGGGATAAATTCACTAGCATTGTCACTTATATTGATATGCATCTTATCTTCTTTCTGCTCAATCCCCTCCTCAATCACAACAATATCTCTTGTTATTGTTACACTGTCATTGTTGGGATTGTAAACGCGATATCTTTTTACCTCATCTGAATATCCAACAAGGATGCCCTCACTTGCCTTTTTGTCCCATTTTAATCTTCTTTCTTTGGGAATATGTATCATTACTTTGCTTCCAAATACACGTAGATGACTAACATCTGGTTTAGTACCAGTCCAAATCTCATAAGGTGTACTGTTGTTCAATCCTGATGCCACTGATCTGTTTCGCAGATATACTGCAGTACTCACTGCCTCTGCCCAGAAACGTTTTGATAGCCTCGCATCATACAACAAACATATGGCTTTTTCAACCACAGTTCGGTTAAGCCGTTCACAGAGACCATTCTGTTCAGGTGTGTATGGACAGGTTTTCTGATGAATAATTCCTGCTTCCTGTAAGTATCTCTCAAACTCCTTACTGCAGAATTCCATCCCGTTGTCTGTCCTTATCACTTTAATTTTTTTGCCCGTCTGATTTTCCATTATTGTTTTGAAAGTTTTAAAATAGGAAAGTACTTCATTTTTTGTTTTCAAAAAATAAACAAATGCCATTCTACTGTAAGCATCAAGAAACAGCATAAAGTATTTCTGTCTGCCGATAGAACTGGCTTCCATGGGCCCACAAACATCTGCGTGAACAACATGAAGAAGCTCCTTGCTTCTGTTACTCGTATGAGTGAATTGTAACCTAGCCTGCTTCCCTTCACAGCATACAACGCAATTTGTTTTACTGACCTGAGCCTTATCAGCATACCACATTCCATGAAAAGCACCATCTCTCATTATATTCAGATCTTTACTATTTATGTGGCCAAATCGTTTATGCCACAACTCTCCAGACAATGATGTCAATAAACAATTAACTTGCTTGATTGTTAGTTTATAAACACCTCCTGTACACTCTGCAGTGGCCACGAGTTCATCTTTCTTATTGTAAATATAACAGTAATTATCTTCAAATGTTACTTTTTTACCTTTTTCAATCAATTGGCTGACTGACAGTAAGTTTGTCGATAAGTTTGTCGATAAGTTTTGCGATGACATTTGACGTTTTACATTTTGCAGTTGGTTTCCTTTTTTGTTATGCCAACCTTTCGTCACGAATGCATTTCCGCTATTGTCACTTCCGTCCTCTATAGCTAGCAGCTTGGATTTAATGACGTCGGTTGTCAACTCTATGCCTGAATGTTCAACTGCCATGATCATCGGTTCATATTTGTCAGGCAATCCCGCTAATAATAGAGAGCTAATCCACTCGTCACTGATCTTGAATCCTGTATTATTCAACCTTTGACTTGTTTCTAATAATGAAGTCACATATTGAGACATAGATTCACAGTTTTCTCGACGGATAGATATTAGATTACGAAGCAATCCTATGCGTCGGGTGAAGCCATTATCATCAAACAGTTTTTTTAATTTTAACCATAATTCCATTGCAGTCTCTTCACTTTTAATATGCACGTACAAATTTGGATCGATTGTTAAAATGATTTTTGCCCTTGCTTTCGCGTCGTTTGGATCGTCCTCACTCCGTATGCATTGATCCATTCCCTCCAAAACTAAGAAATTTTCCACCGCGAATGCCCAGTCGTCGTAATTTTCTCTTTCTTTTAATTTTGTAATACTCGTAATTAGGTTAATAGACATTTTTACTATTTTTTTTACAATAGAACTCGTGATAAAAACCGCACGGCACATAACCTATTAATGATACTACGAGTGTTCATCACAGACTAAAAAAGAATTTATTTTAGTATACATACTTCAGTTGACACACGGGTTACAAATTACAATGGATTGTTAGGTTAGTTCACACACAAGTTAAAATCCATGGATCATAATGTTTTGTTACCAACTAACAATTTTTTTAAATCCCAAAATCTTTGTCTTGTCATGGATCTTGATACCATTTTGACGCCTATATCTTCATCAGAAGATCAGCATAGCGTCGGGGATAGTGCAAATTCGCGAATCTACCACTGGTAAGGAGCGCGTATCTGCACTACATGCAATTTTACAGCAAAAGGTTAAAACATTATATTTCTTTTATTTTAAAAGATTTTGAGCTCATTTTTGCACAGAGAGTTTTATTCGTGTTCTGTGTATTATCAATAATATATACTATGTGTTAACGTTATTAATTAAGTCGCTACAGCAATTACGCGGATTTGATTTGACCACAAAGTTATCAAAATGGTACCTTATAGTAGTTATGCGGTATGAAAAACAACAAAAATATTGTTAAAATAATAATATTTATTAATCAAATGATAACATGACTTACAAAATCTGTCCTAAAGCTTTATCTCTTTATCACTAGAGTTTTATTAAATAAAAAATAAAAAACTAAAAAGAATTTTTTTTTCTGAAATCTCTTTAAAGTATAAACATTAATTATACAACAATATTTACTTTTTTATTTTAATTTAATCTTATATTCTACTCAGCATTTATCAGTCTTTTTAATTATCTTTTTAGGAATAGTATAACAAGTTATAAACTTAAAGGAATAGTATCATAAAATATACTCATAATAAATAAAAGTGCTTCTTAGTTAAAGAATCTAACAAAATCTAATCTGTATGTCTTAATAATTTCAAGTCCTCGTAAACATTTAAATTATGAAAAAATCAACAAAGTAAGAACACTTTCAGCTACCAAAAAAAATAAACACTGTAATAAACTTATGAGAAATCAACATGAACATAGTTATAGCTTTGCATATTAAAAAAAAATCAATTAGTCTTATAAGGCAAGTTGTCATAAAATTTATGGCAATCCCTGGGTATAACACTTTTTAATTGTTGTAAATGTTCATATTTTGATTTTGAGATTGGCAATCTTTCAGTGAAGAGTTGTGGTGGAATAACTTTTTTTTTTTTAACGTTCAGAAATGCATTTACGCACGAAGTGTGGGACTCACCGGCGAAGCCAGTACTACCCACTAAAACCCAACAAAACCTTCCCCCGTCTTAATGGGGCGTCGCAGGATCGCTTACGCATTCAACTACGACGCCCCGACGGCAGGTCTGCCGAAGCAGACCACAACAACCATGGGGTTGCTCCACGGTCCACTCTGCTATCAGAGAAGTACCAGGAGCAACCCGCATGGTACACCGCCCTCCGAAGAAGGCCACCTCCCACCGCCCACCGAAGCGGGCCACCTCCCTGTGCGTTTCTTGGCTTCGCGAGTACACTACTGAGCCCCCCCACCACGACAAGGTGAACGCACGTTGGGGGGGTGTGGTGGAATAACTAGCTCAACTCTTTTTGGTCTTTGTGGCAGTAGCTGAAACTCGTCATTGTAGTTAAGTTTGTATTCAATTGTACCATTGGGATTGTACTTTAAGACTCTGATATCAACCACACACTTTGCCCCAGTACCTCTTCCAGGGCGGATTGTATCGTAAATAAGGTTGCTCTTAATACTATAATCTTTAAAAATGTGTGGTCTACCGTTGCTACCTCATATGGAGATGGATTCAGTCTAGCTTCTTTAGTAACCGAAGAGTATTGACTAGGTAAATATATTTCACGATGTTTTAGTTTTCTTTCTATTACCGAATGAACTGAATCCACCTCCAGTTGAGTATTACCTTTTTCTAAAAAAATTTGTGTTAAGACAACGTTTTTCTCCATCGCCAATCGTAGCAGAGCGTTTGAAACCACAACATTTCTATTTTGTGATGTGCATCCATCAGTGAAAATTACGACGTTTTTTGGGGATTCTTCTATGATGTTTTTTAAATAATCGACAAAAAAGGAAGCGTAAGTTGATGCTTTTAAATCTGTTGCTGTCTCATCAAACCAATAACACTTTACGTTATTATTGCCCAGATTATTTATTGTAAAATTATGAACCATTAACTTCGTTTTGAAATACAATGCACTGCCCGTTAAGTATGGACACAATTTCACTGCTTGTAAATCTGCAGTTATTACGTGAAGTGTGCCATTCTTTGCAGCCTCTTTGTCCAACGCTTTCTCCTGTCTAGCTAAATCTTTTCGCGATACGTGTTGTTGATATTCTTGCTCTGAAATATTTCCTGCTTTGAATGAACAACATAGATCGCATGCGTCTTTTTTTGGTTGAAACAAAGCTATGTTTTCATCTTTCAAAACATTTTCGAATAGTTTTCTCGAAGCTACTTTTTGTCCATTTTTAGTAGCCTCTTTAACATAGATACGATATAGTTCACGTTTAGACTGTATTATGGGTTCTAGATACAATTTTGTACTTTCCTTTCTGCAATAGTGAGAAGGTAATTTAGGTATGGCTCTGAAAAATGTTTACACTAACTCTGTCAACGAATGGCAAGGCAGTGCAGTATCTTCGTCACGTTTTGAGGTTGTATCTCTCTTAGATTTTTCTCCTAGTCAGTACCTTACTGTCCACTCCTTAATGCCTAACGTTCCTAATAGTATTAGTATTGTTATGAGTTGCTGATTGCTTAAGCAAAATATTTTTTTTAATCTCTAATAATTTTTCACGTCTCTTCTTTAAATCATTTAATGTCGTAACATAAGGTGTTTCATCTTCTTGGAAAGACTCGCTATTATTCGCCATTTTAATCCTAAATAGAAAATAAGAATAAAATTTACTAAGTTTACCCATAATATATCACGTAAATCACATCTTAACTAAACCGCGTAAATGCATTCCCTATGTAAAATAACCAAAATATTCATAGAGTTCTATATTTTTATGATATTTTTCAATTTTTCAATGCGTTTATATAAATTAGGTTAATTACACATGTTCACCTTACAACTTTCAGCTTTTTTGCAAAAAAAAATAGTCGTAAGCACGGGATGGATGAACATATGAACTGAAAATTATTTAAAATACTACTAAATGTCAAAATTCTATCGACAAAACAATAAATAAACATTGTATTAACACTTACTTGATGGTATACTGATTATTTTGAACTATAAACTGAGTTTAACAGCATAAATAAACTATAAATACGCTCCAGGTGACAACTGATAACATACGCGGTATTGACACTTGCCGTCACTGGATACGCGGTATTGTTTTTGAGCGATTTCTTGCTTTCTATTGGTCGAATGGAAGTACCGTTAAAATGGTAGATGCCAATCAGAATTATGCGTGCATTGCGCGCGTAATATTAATATGGGCACTTTTGTCAGATACGCGGTATTAACCAATGCTAGTTACGCGGATTTGCACTATCCCCGACGATAGATCTTTTCTGGGTAACTTATAATACCCAGATAATATCATCATACCCTTGATCAATTGTTTTTCTCATTTCAAGTAAAAGCTTTTCTTTTTTTATTGCATAGTCTAATAATGATCTTGATTGATAATTGCTAGTATTCCAACCTTTATTAGCATGTGTTTGCAAAAAACTTAATTTTCATTCTGACCATTCTGATTGTAAACTAAGCTTAATCATCATTGAAGAATACCAATTAGTACATGATTTTTCTAGAAATAATCTGAATATTTCAATTTTTTCTTCCTCTTTTACTATATCAAACTTTGTACATTCATTTTCAAATATTTCCATCCAGTGATATGCATTTATATTTTTTCCATCAAATTTATCAATCACAAACCTGTCTGCCAACATTTTTATATTTTGTTTTTTTTTTCTTTTTTTGATTTTCAATTAATTTTTCCAAAACTTTTACCATAGGATCTTCTGAAATATTTTTATTAACAATAGCCAATTGTTCTTGAGTAATTTCTTCAAGGAATTGGTCGTGGAAAATTATGTTACTATACTCATCAAAGTATGTATGTAAAATACCTTCTGTCATTTTTATCCATACATTTCTAGTTTGATGTCTTTTTTTAAAGTATTTTTTACTGTAACGAAAGCTTTAGAATCCTGGATATGTTTGTGGAAAGACACTGCTTGGTACTCCTCTGGAATCAGGAACACTTTTTCATCCTGTGTGTGAATTCAGGTTATAGCAATATAATTTGACTTCCCGTCCATTGTTGGTTGCGATTGAAATGTAAATCGTAATTTTTCCATTGTTTTTAAAATAAATGTCGTTTTGTAAGATATTCTTTTAATTAAATGATCGCGATGACTTAGGCGGTTGAACCCCAGTTAAGAAAAAAAACAAACCTCAGAGCTGAGAAGAACTGGCGAAAGAAGCTCAGCGGGACAATATTATTATCAATATTTTGTCTTTTTATAAGTAAATAATAATTTACAATAATTCTATAAGGTTGAAGTAGCCTAGAGGCGATCGCATTCCCAAGGCGTGCCATCTTCTATGAAATCATTAATTGTATAATAACCTTTAGCACACAACAAATGTTCTTTTATATTTTTTTATTTGACGATAGAAACTTTTTGAACGTTTTCTGGGATCCTGTTGTAAAAGCGTGTACATTGTCCATAAAAAGAATTGTGTAAACGAGTCACAGGCATTTTAGTTGTAGAGCAAAGCACACAAAGACGACAAAGCTATAGCTTATGTTCAATTAAGTCGTAAAAATAATATTTGTATTGTAATAGGTCGGGTATGTCATCTTGTCATCTTGGGGAACATTTAAAAACATTTTGTCAGGAGTTGTTTTTGTAGTATTCGTACATAATAGTACAAAACAAGAACGATAACTTTTGAGGTTCTATTTAGGTCGAGGAGAAACCAGAGCCCGAGTTAGATGGTCCAGGAATTGGTCTATTTACTTGAAGAGACGCGAGCCGTTTTGATAAAAGTTTATAAACCTTAAAAATTTCGTCGTAATCATCTTTCGTATCCTTACTAGGCGTTAACCTCGCTAAACGATTGTGAAGGTGATTTAACATATTTTGCGTTCTCATGAGGGAAGGTTCACTAGGGTCTGATACATCTAAGTTTGTTTGAATCTTAGTGAGAACTTCTAGACATCCTTTAAGGTCCTGTCGAATATCTAATGGAGACTCCAATATGTGTTTGGACGGGTATCTGACGATAATTTCACAATTTGTTTGCGTAACTCCTCAACAGAAGAAGCTGCGGTAGCACCACGAATCCGAACCTCATATTCGAGGTCCGATTTTCGAAGTGACAGATATTTCACAGGTAAGCATAAATCAACAAATGTAACCCTTCTCCGATCTGTTACTATATACTCTTTAATCAACGTTGGTTTTTTTTTAATGATAAAAATAGCAGCAAAATAAAAAGTAAACGGTGCTACTAATGTGTACTTTACAACAAAGCTTAACCACTTTAAAAAAAACTAACAATTTTTTAATAAAAAATGTGGGTAGAAATAAACTTGTGTCGAAATTAAATTGTTAACTAGAACAATGAGTACAATAATTTAAGCTACTTTAACAATATTGAGTACACTTCAGTAGCAAGCAATTAAAAAACCAAAAAAAATAAAACGTTTTACAAAAATAAGCCACAAACACACTAACTACAAAAAAACGAAAACAAAAAGAACTTGTGTGAATTTAACCACGTTAGGCGCCAGTAACCCACACAAGTTCCTTTGTTAAATCGGTTCAGGTACTCTCCTGCGTCACGCCGTAAAGATGGTGATCCCGGGAGCTACGTTCTGGAATCCGCTGACGGCTGGATGCGGCAGAAATGGGTAACCAAATCCGGCGGAGAGTATTCACGTCGTGGTGGTGAAAGTAGAAAAACATAAAGGGCGTGAGGGTATACCGGCCAAATTCCGAGCGTTGAACCCTGGAACGCGCCATCAAAATACAATTACAAGCGGTCCAGTACATATAGCACACATCCACGGCACTGCGTTATAAAAGAAAAGCACCTAAATTGTAGTAGTAGTGCCGTGGAATCATGACAACCAGAAACGGAGATTACAATTTCGAGAAATAAGTTAATTTATAAAGAAATTTACGAATATTAAAAAAAATATTAAAAGCTGAGGGTGGAATTTTTTATACTTAGTTTGTTTTAATGTAGGATTTAATTTAATAGTTATTTTAATTAGTTTTAGGTATTGTAAATATTAAATTTAAGTGTATTTTAGGGTAATATTATGAATTATGTACATATAACGTTACAATGACAGCAGCTATTCTTTATTTTTTTAATTATTATACAAAAATATTTAATAGGAACAATTGTTACGATTGAGATCAAGTAAAACTTAACGTGACACTAACTGAATTTGCGTAATATAATTATAACATAACAGTTTAACAGGTAAGTTTTGCATTTAACAAAAGAACTTTGGTTGATAACAGCAATAATTAATTCATTGTATATTATAATTAGAAAAATCTACTTCAAACATAACTTGGCCCCTTCTGGTAATTATTGGTTGCGGTAAGACGACAACAACGTCATCTACATGATGCATTTCATAAATATCTTCAACAGATGGATACGTAAAAGTTAATCTTTTGCTATCTGCAGTATTTTTAACTTTCCTTACAAATTTTATTGTAGGGATATTATGTGTAATATATAAAATCCGCCCAACAAAGTGCTTGACGCTTTTTTTCGTAGCAAATTTAGCTATAAGCCAGTCACCTTCGTTCAAATTATCAACATTGCCTGTGAAATACTCAATATCACTGATCCCGATTGGGATGTCCGGTTCCAGGTTTCCTTTTTCTGATTGATCTTTTAAACAGGTTTCTATGTAGTCATTTAATGTTTCATATTCGGAATCATCTGATTCAGCTATACTCAATTGAAAGTTGGAAGTATCAGAGCTTGATTCACTGAAATATTTTTTTATTTTATTCTTGTTTACAGATGTTGTTTTCCTTGATTTTGTTTTAATTTTATTAATTTTACTCTTTTTTTTACGTTTTACACATGAGGTTCTAGTCATACTTTGCCGCTTTCTTGTTGTATTTTCTTCTTTTTGCATATTTACATATTCATTATTATTATCCGTTACGCTTGAATCATTTTTTAATTTATTTATTTTATCCTTTTTAAATATTTTCATTTTCAGTGCTGATTGCGTAATAACTTTAGCACCAGCATCCATTTGGATTTTTAAATCTTGCTGTGTTTTTCTTTTCTTACAGTCTAATTTTACATTGGAAGTTATTATAGCATTTGTTTGATTTGTTGATTGCAAACATGATGGTAAATCATTATCATTCATCGCCATAAATGGCATGTTCTGCCTGTCACTCTTTTGAATTTCACGCAACGAATGCACATAATTTGGTGATAGCGGAGTAGTGGAAATCATATTATTATTAATAAATGCGATACAGATTTTACTAAGGCTATCTGGATTATATATATGGGCGATAGAAATGTTTGTGGATTTAATTCTTCTAATATATTTATCTCATTGTCTTGTGTCGTAGTTTCTATATCAATAAAGTTATCCTGATAGTTTTCAAGGGGTACAATTTTTTTGGGTTCCTTATTTTGAACTCTTTTGTTAGTATTTGTTTTTAATAAAATATCAGCAGCACAAACTGATTTGCCTGGTTCTGTGCGTAATTTCTTACTCCTTTTCACTGCCATTGGTTTAGGAGATCTTGTTTTTTGTAGGAAATCTAATAACGCGGAATCTATTCCATACACTTCTTCGTCAAAATACTCAGGCATTCGTTTCAAAACATTTCGGGCATTTACTGGCCATATTCCCGCGGCTCTAAATCCACTTTTTATATTACTGGTTTCTCTGAGTTTAATATTTTCTAATAATTCAATTAAGAGTTTAGGAAAGTGTTTTTTATTAATAGTTGACTGTCCCGGATTTTGAATTTTGTAATTTGTGAGTATCTTCCTCCATTCTATTTTAAGAGGGGCAAAAAACGCTACATCTAAAGGTTGAGTCAAATGTGTGGAGTTAGGTGGAAGAAACACAAACCTAATATCATATTTTTGGCATAACTCCACAACTTCAATATTTAGGTGACTAGACAAATTGTCTCCTATTATGACTTTTGGCCCTGTTAGGTTTTTCGCCCACTTTAATATAATTGTTCTAAAATAATCCTCAAAACAGGCAGAATCAAACCATCCCGATTTCGTGCAATTATAGCGAGTTCCATTAGGACCTCCGTTAACCCATTCCGAATAAAGATTAGTAGCTTTATATACTACATATGTTGGAAGACAGTCACCAGCTGCAGACACTGTAAACATAATCGAAACACAACTCTTAGAATTTTTTAAAATCATTTCAGGATATTTTATGCCCCGTCTAAAAATGCATTTAGAGTTGCCCAGGTTATCGGACAAATTAGTCTCATCATAATTTAATATATTATTAGGTGGAACATCCTTGAGTGTTTCTTGTAAATTGTCGAAGAATTTTTTCATGTCTTGTAGACCCATTTCAGCTCGGACTTTTTTTATATTTTGTGTAGTTCTAACTGACAACTTCGATGCATGCCTATGTAAAAATTGTTCTACCCATGTATTTCCGGGCATTTTTCCATTAAATATATCAGTGCGTGAATTTTTTTCTAAGTAATTGAAAACTAACATTTTCAGGTCTAGCTTAGTCATTGGACAACCATATTCACCGACAGCCACTAGAACATTTACAAGATTTTCTTCTTCGATGTCTGTTAGTTTCTTTTGTCCCCCAACTGTTTTCATGTGCAAGTCTTTTGCCTTATTTAATATGGTTCTTCGTGGTGTCCCGAATTGATTTTCAGCTTGTCTACTAGTTATAATTTTTTGTTTTACCAGATCTACAGCTATATCCAACATTTCGTTAGAGTAGTTTTTGTAATTTCTGGATCCTACTTTCCTTCTATTTCTTTTTCTTTTTGTACATGCATTTGATTTACTGTTCATCCTAAAAGAACAAAACAATATGTTTAAGAAACTATAAAAACAAATTATTAAAAAATTACAAAACGCGGCAGTACGAAGTAACGGAGGATACTATACCTGTGTCATCCATCATTAAATAGCAGTCCACAATATAACTCTATTATTTACATTACTACGATCAATCAAAAATCATCCAAACAAGGATTGAACAGAGATCTTTCATTTATGCTACTATTAAAAATTATAGTAAATAAAAAGTCACATATGACAACCCTAGGTGAAATAAATTGGTGGGCAATGTTGTCAACAATGTTGAAAAATTATGTGTGTGACTTTGCCCACCAACACATTTTGTGATTTTATGAATGTTTTTGTGTGAAATAGTAGTCTATATTACTCATTTCAAATATATTTATAATGGTAAAAAAATTACTTACTTACTGTTACTGCAACTATCACTTTTTGATAAAGTTTTTGTACTGGTTTTTGCCCACAAAAAAACACTACCAACTTATACAAGCTCTGACAGGCAACTGAAATTACATAGGTGACATTACGTCACTTAGTATTGCCAGAAAAATAATGAATTTTATACTACAGACAAAAATCATCTGCCAACCTTCATGAAGGAGGACTTCTGGCCGCAGGGCGTCGTGTTTCGGAAGTTCCGAGGTCGTTTGCCCGCCGACACAGCTTACACGTCTGCACTACGTGTTAAATAGTTTTTTTAAGTTTTTATAATTAATACTTTCCTAGATTTACGCGAATATTTGACATTTTAAATAAAACTATCTTTTCGGATTTTGTCGCGGATTTATTTGTATTTTTGTTTCCCGACGTTTCGAATGCTTTACAGCATCCATGGTCACGGGAGAGACTGAGGTGTTACATGTCTTAAAGATATAGTTGTTACAGACAGCCTACCCACAATTAACAAAATGAAAATTGCACCAATTACATTACAATATTTTAACTTTAAATATGTTTATAATTTTAATTATAATTGAATATGGAAAATTATTTATTTAATTTTTGCTATTATTTTTATAATTATTACAATTTTAAAAATATTAATTAGTAATCTATATTTAGTGTTGCCATTATTATATTTATAACCATAAGAAAAACATAAAATATAGTATTAATTATTTGAGCCACAATTGATCTATGTGTAATTTGAAAAAGTTAAGATTAATTAAAAATAATAATTTTAATTTAATTTGCTATTATTTAAAAACAAATTATTAAGCAACACTTTACTACATACATTTACAAATGAAAAAGTGAAAAAATATTATTAATCAGAAATGCTATCATTTTGATCTACACAGTAAGAACTTACTACATCTACCTGTCTGTTATGTTTAGATTTATTATTAGATTTTATTATATTAATAACAGGATTATCTAATAATAAATCTAAACATAACAGACAGGTAGATGTAGTAAGTTCTTACTGTGTAGATCAAAATGATAGCATAAACTAAGATATGTCAAATTTGCTGTGTATCAAGTTTAAATCTAGTTTTAAATATATTTACTAATAGGAACATAATTAATCTTTAGGTGCAAACTTATATAAGCCTCATATTTTGGTACATATAAGGTATATTACCATATTATCTGTGACAGTAATTGCTAAATGGCGGTGAAATTTTTCAAACATCTTTCGATTGACATCAATATTTATTTTTTTTAATTTTTGTGGATTGACATTTTTTTGCGTAGCAGCGTCCAGTTAAGTCATAACATAATACTTCGCAAAATTCAAATTAAATATGGAATGTCCTCGTCTGGAAATTTGAGGATCCGGTAATACTGCAATAACCTCATTTAAATCTTGTACAGCACATATATCTTCTATATTCGGGTAGGTGAAAACTATTCCTTTATCACGCTTTGAATTTTTCACCTTTCGTGCAAATTTCACCGTGGGAATTTTATCATTTATTGATAAAACTTTCCCTATAAAGTGTCTCACACTTTTTTTGAAGCGAATTTAACTATAACCCAGCTATTTACTTGAAATTCAAGAGAACTCTCCATGTAAAAATCGATATTACTCAGTCCAAAAGGTATGTTTTCTTATTCTTCTTGTTCCTGTAAACATGACGCTATATAATTATCAAAATTTCCGTAATCAGAGTCGTCTGCAGCATGAAATGATATATTTGAGGACAGACTTGAATCGCTATTGCAGATAATATGTTTCTTTTTCCTTTTCATTTTAGACGATTGTCCTTTTGGAGTACTGGTTTGTTTTCTTTTTCTTTCATTTATTTGTGTATCTATATCTCTTAACACGATTCTTTTTTCAGGTGAAGCTTCTTTTATAACTATATTAGACGTAATAATTATTTTTGGGGTTTTCTTGTTCGGAGAGTTTTGACATGGTTCAGGGTTATTCTTAGGCAGATCAGTAATTATCTTCTGCAAACATTTCGGCGCATCTCCGTAAAATGGAGTATTCAATTTGGATTTCTTTGGTAAAATTATCAGATACTGTACAGGCACGAATTCATTCAAATCTGCTGCTAAAGGCTGCAAGTAAATATTTAAGGCACCTATGCAAAGCCTGTGAAGGGTTTCAGGGGTTTTAAGCTCCGATGAATGAACTAATTGAGCCGAGTTCTCTGCCAATGTACTGTCTTGATGGCATAATTCTTTTTAATCCTGAGCTTTCAGTTTTAGTATGCTTCACTTTTTCCTTCTTCATAGTTGTGATGTTCGATGGTCCTGGCAAATTTGAGTCTCTATTTTCTATTTGTTTAGTTATTTTTGTATCATTTTTCAAATTTTTAGCTTTGGTTGTTAGCTCTTCTGCTTCTTCTGTTGATATAGATTTGCCAGGTATGACTGTAAGTTTTCGGTTTTGTCCAGTTTTGATTGGTTGTGATCTTCGGTTTCGCTGTAAGAACTCTAGGAGACTGGCATCAAACTGACGACTTTCTTGGTTTTGTACTGTTGGTATTTTTACTGTCACTCTTGAGGGATTAAAAGGAAATATTCCAGATGCTTCAAAGCCTTTACGCGAATTATTTTCTTTATTTATGTCAATTCTTGCCATAAGTTCTTTCAGTAATTGTGGAAAGTAGCATTTGTTAATTGTGCTTACATTGCTGTATGTTGTTTTATAATCTGTTAAAATTTCACGCCAATGTCTTTTCATAGGTCCAAATATGCGACATCTAGTGGTTGCGTTATGTGTGTCGCATTTTTTGGAAGAAAAGCAAATCTGATGTTTTGACGTTGACATATTTGAATTGCAATGTGCGGGGAGCGGGGGAGATGCAATGAAACACAACCGCTCCCGATAAGGTTCCTTATTCTACTCCTCCGTCACAATACTGTCCTTAATATTTATACTATGCTATACTTACTCCCACTACACCACCGGGGTAAAAGATAAAAAAAAAGGTTTTTTTTTAGTTACAATCTAATACTTATGTACTAACTACAAAGATACTGCTACTGTTTAGAAAAAAAACTGCTTATTAAACTTAACAATATTCTAATAGATTTTCTTAATATTAAGTGAATTATGAATATAAACATATTATTTATCTTTTACAAAGGGCTTTGTTCTATTTTTATGAATAATTTCAATTTTACCATTTCTCAAAAATTTTACATTCGGTTCTTGCTCTTCAATAACTACATACGGGCCATTATACAAAGTATCTAGTTTACTTCCTGTCTCATTTTTTACTAGTAACATATCATTTGGTTTATATTTTATTTGATTTACATTTTTATCATATTTTTGTTTCCTTTTCTCTTTACATTTTAACAAGTTTTCTTTTGCATCTCTGCTAGCTACCTGTAATCTATATTTTAATTCTAAACTATAATTATCTGGATTATACAATGGTTCTATGTCAGCAGAAATTCTACTAGGCATTTCACAAAGTTTTTCGAAAACTAACTCGTATGGTGCATATTTCGTACTTGAATGAACTGTATTGTTGCATGTAAAACACCAAAATGGTAGCCATTGGCTCCAAGTGTCTGGATGGCTATCGCACTGTATGCGCAAAAATGAACCTAGATGTTTATGTGCATTTTCAAGTGAACCAATACTTTGATGATGACATGCTGTAGAACTTAATTTTTCTATGTTAAGTAATTTACATACCTCTTCCATTGTAGCAGACATAAATTCAGTTCTACGATCTGTAGCGATGACCTATGGAATTCCAAACCTTAAAATGAAATTATTCACAAAACTCTTAGCTATACTTACCGTTTCCTTATTTTTAAGAGGATATGCCTCTACAAACTTACTTAACTCGCATTGTATACTTAATATATATTTATTATCTTCTAAGTCTCTATCTAACGGACCGACTATATGTAGAAAAACTTTTTCTAAAGCAGAACTTGCTGTAGTCGTTATAACCATAGGTTCCTTAATATATCTAGAATACTTCATCTTTTGACATTTTTCACATTTTCGAACATAACTCTTAACATCATTTTCGATTCCTGGCCAGTAGAATCTACGTTTTATGTTATTTATCATTCTGCGAATCCCAGCGTGTCCGCTTGTGGGAAGCCAATGATAGTCATTCGTAATAAATTCCTTTTCTTCGTTACTATCTATTCTTTTTATACCTCTCAAAATACAAATGCGTGGTCCGGACCACTTGTTTATGTTTTTTATTTCTTCTACAAGATTCTTGATAAACAATGTGTTATCTTCTCTTTTTATGATACATATTTCTTTAATTTTTAATTTTTCACATATTTGTCTCAATTTTTCCACAAAAACGTCTCGCGTATAATGTGCTTTAAAATCGAGATTAACATATAATATATTTTTATTTTTTCGAAATGCGAAACATTCAGATTCAACATCAATCATTTTTTTTCTCTTTCATTTTTTTCAATTCTTCTCCTTCCAGTAAACTTAATTCAACTGCTCTATTCGGTATACTAAGTATTTCCACTACTTTTGGTTGATCAGGCCAATCGTTCTGGTCAATACTTGGGATATCGTCTATCACCTTATTTCCACTTTCATTCCTTCTTTCATTCTCTTTTTCAGCCTCTCTCATTCTCCTAGCTTGCGCTCTCGTTGTTACTGCCATTAATCTTTCATTCATTACCTTTAACTCTTGGGACGTTATGCTTATTCGCGATAAAGCATCTGCTATCACATTTTCTTTCCCTTTCACGTATACTATTTTAAAATCATATTCTTCTAGTGCTAATCGAAATTTTAAAAGTCTACTTGACGGATCTTTCATTCCAAACAAGTATATTAAAGGTTTATCATCTGTCATTATTGTAAAGGTACGTCTATATAGATATGGTCTGAAATATTTAACGCTCCAAACTATGGCAAGTAGTTCCTTCTGTATTGTTGGATAGTTTAATTCTGCTTTATTTAAATGTCTACTAGTATAGGCTATAGCCCTCATGTTACTATTACAAAGCACTGCACCTATTGCTGTTCCCGAAGCATCGGTTTGTAGTATAAATTCTTTTGAAAAATCGGGGTATTGTAGAATGGGTGGAGTCGTTAAAGCGTTTTTCAAAAATTTTAATGAATTTTCGCATTCTTCAGTCCATTCGTATCTGACATTTTTCCTACAAAGTTTATTCAAACAATTAGTTATATCAGCAAAATTTTTAATAAACTTTCTATAGTAGTTACACATCGCGACAAAACGTCTGATCTCATCAACGTTTGTCGGTGTTGGATAATTTTAAATAACTTTGATTTTCTCTGAGTCTGGTTGAATTCCTTCAAAAGATATCGTATGACCCAAATATAATAGTTCTGTTTTTAAGAATTGACATTTATTCGGATTCAATTTAAGATTGACTTTACGTAAACGTTCGAATATTTCTATTAAAATTTTTATTATGTAATTCAAGGTTTCGTCCAAAAACAATACAATCGTCTAAATAAATAAAACATTTTATGTAGTTAAGGCCTGACATGGGTACTGACATCACTCTAGAGAAAGCACTAGGACTGATTTTTAGTCCCATAGGTAGACGTTTCATTTGATATTGACCTGTACTAGTTGTGAAAGATGTAATTGGTCTGGATTCAGGCTTTAAAGAACATTGATAATATGATTGGCTAAGGTCTAAATGAGAATAATAAATTGCGCCTGATAGTGAATCTAGTATTTCGGTAATATTTGCTAATGGGAATTTATCATCCTGTATAATTTCATTTAACTTTCGGTAATCTATAACTAATCTCCACTTTTTGTTATCTTTATCATCTGATTTTTTAGGTACTAACAATATAGGACTGGACCATTCACTTTGTGAAGGTTCTATGATGTCGTCATCTAACATTTGTTTGATTTGTTTGTCTACTTCTGTTTTTAAACTATTTGGTAACCTATATGGCTTTACATAAACTGGATTTATATTTTGTTTCAAATTAATTGATTGTTCACATAAATTATTAGTAGTTAGCTTATACCCGGGTAAATAAAATATGTCAGCATACTTTGAACAAATACTTTCTATATTGCTTCATTGGAAAAATTAAAATCTTTTTAAAAAAGAATTTATTTATTAACACTAATTAATTTATAATATAATTAATGTAGGACAACTTAGACGTGAGAAATTCGGCAAGTGTTAATGGTTCCGCGATCAGATCCGAACTGAGCTTGAACTTTACTATGGGATAAATCTATGGAGTTAAAGATGCTGATGAAGCATTTACTCATTATTAATCCCTACAGTACAGGGATGTAACAGCCCCTCCGATAAGAGGAAACTTACATATTAATGCTAAGTTTCAGGCAATTATCCTGAGTCTTGGAACTGGTATTTCCTCTGTTTCCTGACTAGGTCCGATTGTTGCATCGGGATTTCTAATATCTTTTGATTTAAAGTTAAAACAATTGCCAAATTTCTGATAAATTTTAAAACATATAAAAATTAAAATTAAAACAATTATACAGTATGTAAGTATAGGATAATGTGAATCGTACTTGACAAGTGGATTAGGCTCATTTAATATTTTATCGATATCTGTCATAAATTGGTCATTTGCGACATTTGTAAGTTTTTCCAAATTTGCTTCAATTAATTTTATTGGTTTCAATTTTGGTTCTTGAGATTTAAATTTCATTTCATCACAGCAAGGGTCGTTAATTAAGTTAAAATCTGACGTTACAGGTTTTACAGTTATATTAAAGTTATTTCTACTTGAAAATTCTTTATTTCTGCAGAAGGCTTTACAGCTTGGCGGTAAATTCATTATGCCAGTACCTAATAATTTAAAATCTGATATTTGCCCTTGACATTCAACAGTGAGTTTAATAGGATCGGTCTCAACAAATAACCATCTATTACCAGTTAGTTCTTGCCAGATATCGATTTTTCCATGAATTATTTTAGTTTTACACTGCTGAGGTAATTTATCTAACACATTACATAAAATTTCTGTTTCACAAGTAGGGATATTTTGAACTGAATATGCATTCAATTTGTTACAAATATGAATATCATTAATAATATTAACACAATCTCTTAAATCATTAAGATATATATATGTTGTCTTATCTCTACTTATAGCTATGTAATTACAATTTGGAATCACCATCGCATAGGAATAAGGATGGTTTTTGTCGTGTGGAATCGGTACAGGTATAGTTTTATACAAACTGTATTCTATTCTAGTAACTAAGGGTATCTTAATTACAAATACAATTTCCTTATTTACGTAGTAGCATGACAGTTGCGCTAAGTTAATCAAAGAATGTATACTATTTAGACTTAAACTTAAAGGTAATTCTAAATTATTATCTAAATTTTTAACATTATGAGATAATTCTTCGTAGAGTTGTGTTGGTGTATAAATATTTCAATAAACGTTTTAAATTTTTCCAATGTGTCTCATTAAAACAATTATTATACTGACTCAAGAAACTTATACTAAATGTAATATCTGGCCTGGTCAATACAGATAAGTACATTAAACTGCCTATCAATTGTTGGTATGGATATTTTTTATCAGAGTTTACTTTAACATTTCTTTCAAATTTTAAATTAATTTCCATAGGAGTATCACTACATTAACAATCTGACATATTAAATCTCTTTAGAATAGTTTCTATAAATTGCTTATGGTCTACAGTAATACAGTCTTTATATACATTTATATTCATACCTAGACACTGTTTCATTTGACCTAAATCTTTAATTCTAAATTTATTAACTAACTCAATTATCAATTCTTTATATGAACTATTACAATTATAAAAGATAAAAAAAAAA